ATATATATATATATATATATATATATATATATATACGTACATAAAGAAGAAAAAATAATGATATATGGATTAGAATTGCTCTTCATTGAGTGTATCTTAAGTCGAATTCACCGGGTAAGGCTACAGTCCCATTACGAAACCATTCCGTTGAGATTTTCAACCGTTAAATGCACATGTTATACTAATCTACATGTACATCTAACGGTTAAAAATTTCAACACAATAGTTCCATAACAGGACTATAGCATTTTTTTTGAATTCACCATCCATGTGTTGTATTTTACCTTCATGGTAGATATATTAAACCATATTTAATTTATCAGTAGATATATATAAATCATAAATGAGACTTTGAAGGTTGCCAAAATTTGGAAAAAAAATAAATAAATGAATAAATAAAAGGGGTTGCCAAAAGTTTTAGAAATTTCAAATTGCCTGTTTTTTTCTTTACCTTTTTTTTTTTTTCTTTTTGCCAGCTTATAGGAGTCAAATTGCCAGCATAAGCTTCAGACAAATGTGCCCAAATTCCCTTTTAATGGAGCTAAAACACACAAACATTCTAGATAACATCACTCAAATAAACCATAATTCTCAAAATTGCACATAATATAAAGGAACTGTACATCAGAAAGAAGATCGATCACGCGTAAAGAACCGAAGGTCTTGGATAAGTCACCGGTTTTCTATGCAATTTCTCGGCATTACTTGTGTGTACGTATTTAGGCTTCGTTTGGCTGCGTGTTTCTAACCGATAATGCTTTTGATCCTTCTTTGACTCGGTCTTCACCGATTCTTGCAGCTGCTCCAGAGCTGTCACGACCTGATCCATATTCGGCCTCGACCGGGCATCCATGCAAAGGCATTGTAGTGCGAGCTTAGCTGCTTTGCCTGCTTGTACCAAAGAGTACTGCCCTTCGAGGCGGGCATCGATGACACGCAAAACTCGTCGTTTATTGGTCAGATAAGGCTTTGCCCACTCGACAAGCTTTTGTTCACCCGACGGGCGGTTTTTGTCAATCGCCTTTTTACCGGATAGGATCTCGAGGAGAACGACCCCGAAGCTGTACACGTCGCTCTTGGCCGTTAAATGGCCTTTTTTTTTCGAAGCGTGAAAAAATGGTTTTGTTAGGACAATTTCAAAAGTCATGAATGTGAAGGGTATATTACAAATTCGATATTATTAACTTTTTTTAGAGTTATTAACAATATCTAGCCCTGCAGTTTTGGGCTCATTACAGTTACATCTCTCTGAGTAGGGTTGTTTGCAATATTTATCAAAGTTCAAGGATTCAACTGCAAAATGTAACACGAAAAACTTGGGAAAGGTTGCTGTGTGTTCAACAAAACTACGCAAATGCCATCAAATAGAGAATTTTTATGTAGCAAACCTGTAGATAGATACTCAGGGGCAGCATATCCATAGGTCCCCATGACTCTAGTCGAGACGTGACTTTTATCACCAGTCGGCCCATCCCTCGCAAGTCCAAAATCCGAAAGTTTCGCATTATAGTTCTGCAAATGAACCAATCTATCTGTAAAGCCTCTTAAAAATTAAAATTAACAGCACTTGTTGAGAGTACAATTTGTCAAAAAAGGAAAAGAGCATGAAAGGCCCTTTTTTCCAGAAATTCTGTGCACTATTGGACTAAATAAAATGCAATATAAGGAAAAAAACTAATAATATATTACATACCGAGTCGAGCAGAATATTGGAAGTCTTGAAATCCCGATAAATCACTTGTGGTTCGGCACTGTGAAGAAAGGCGAGCCCCTTTGCAGCACCAAGAGCAATCTTCATCCTGAGGCTCCAGGAAAGAGGCTGGAAAAAAGAACCTCCTAAATTCAAAACCGAAAGAAAAAAAAAAAAATGGTTATAATCAATATATTCCAAATAGCTACTCAATTTGTAGATGATAATATTGCTCGAAACTCACTCCTGAAGAGGTGATTCTCCATGCTACCCTTTGGCATGAACTCATAGACCAAAAGCCGTTGATCGTCCTCTAAGCAGTAACCGATCAACTTCACGAGATTATGGTGTTGCAATTGGCCGAGATAGTTAATTTCAGCCTGTACAACCAAATGCAGCTTTGAAAATAAGAAAAATATGTAATACTTAATCGGAACTCAATAAACAATGTTCAATAATACTTTTCTACAGCATGGATTCATTCAAGTAACGGAAAAAAAGATACTTCGAGCGGCAATTGGAACGGAATAATACAAAAACTAACCCCAACATTCAGTCTTAGGTACTAAAAGACCCGACTACTATGCAGATATTACAAATACCTCCCTAGGCACTGCATGCAGTAAACTGCATTGAGGTTTCTAGTTAAAAACTTACACTACATAATAATCCCTTGTCAAGGTGCCAATTGTGATTTAAAGTAAACATTTTTTTTTTTCATTTTTTATCTTTCGGGAACTAGGCCTAACCTCGTGCATAGACTTGACAATTATCCGTAATCTTTAACCAAGGTTGTGCTAGGATATAAATCTTGATTGGAAAAATCTAAATTTTACTCAACCGCACTCTCTTTAGTATTATCAATATAATTAAATAGTATCAATCAATAATCATTACACATCACGATTTTAATTCACCATTCATCGTGATTTTAACTTTTAACTGTTCATTACTTTCAACCACATCTTTCTTACTTTTACAACAAATCAACTTAAATCATTTTTTTAATATTATTTTAATACAAGCTCAAGATCCCACTCAAAAGGTCAAACCTAACCCGACCATCTTTTTCAAATTTAACTCTGATTAACGAAAAAAAAAATCAAAAGTCGACTTGTTTTATATCCAAGCACACCCCAACAAATATCCCGGAAAAAGGATATTCCACACACTAAAAGAGACTAAAACTGTTTAGAAATACACAAACGTACCAACCACTCTTTGTGTCCTTGCCAGCCATCTTGATTGAGCCTCTTAACAGCAATAACCAAACCAATACCTGCCTTTGTTGCCGTTAGCGTATGCTCGTCAACCCAACCTTTGAAAACCGAACCAAAACCACCTTCCCCAATGACACTGTCCGGGCGGAAGTTCCTTGTAGCCGCCTTTAGATCACCGAACGTGAATATCTTCATGTTGGAAGACTGAAGTATTTCACCTTCTGTTCTAGAAGTCATGGGCCCGGATACCGAGGAACTTTTGCTGCTCGAGTAGCTTGACTCGGGCCCATCTCCACTCACCATTTTCGAAGATGAGGTCAAACCTAAATTTGGAATAGAGAACTATGAGTACAGTTGATGAGATTTGCACGTGCACACGATTGGAAAATGTTATCAGCACGAATAATTTCAAATTCTCTTAAGCTTTTTTTTTTCAACTTAATGGATGTGAAGCAAGAATGTAAATGAAGCTTTCAATGAATGAATTGTTTTTAAGGGGACGAGAGCTTGTTTATTTGAATGTATTCAAATACTCTCTAAAGCCATGATCTGGTTTAGTTAATTTAGTTATACTGTTATATTGGATTTCAAGATTTGGAGAAAAAAAAATCGATTGGAGAAAAAAAAAATCGAGTCAATATGCCACCGCGAATACATTTTAAAGAATGTCATTGACCAAGATACAGAAAAAATTCTCTTTGAATTTCATGTAAGAGTACCGGTGAAAGAGGTATGACTCTCAGCAGGATATTTTTTACACTTTGAAAATGCCTATGATAATTAGTTTTTGATGATCTTTTATTTTCTCAGACATCCTCACTATCCAACAAAAATAAAGGTCAAATTCAAAATCAACATAACTAAAGTATCACATTTCATAACATAAGTATACATTTTTGTCACAAATGTATGATGGATCGACCCGGCTAAAGGTTACGTCGAATCACAACAAAAATTGTAAAAGCCGCCCAAATGTAAAAAGTAGAGTAATAAGATTGAAATTTTCATGGCAGCTACAATTTCCCATTGATAGTACTAAAACATTAAACATAATAACAGAGCAGCAGACACAGTCACACTAATGATAATGAATACCCAAAAGGGAATTCTTGCAAACTTTCAAGAGGGACATACACACACACAAACACACACACACACACAAATACACACACACACACACACAAACACACACACAAATACACACACACAAACACACACACACACAAACACACACACACACACACACACACAGTGACACTAAAGATTATGTCTTTCTTGGCCATTATTAAGTGTAACCAAGAAAAGAACAAGGAAAAATTGACATTGAGAAGCTTTTAAACAGTTACCTGTATCAGTCTGAAAGTTGCTCTCAGCCTTTATCTGATTGCTCAAACAAATCCCCATCAAAAAATACCTTCTAAAAAAATTAGAATAAAGCTCAAATTTTTTAATCTTTTTTTTTTTTTTCTTTTTACTGTTAGTTCTTAATGCCTCAACAAAATTCAAACCCAAATGCACAATGAACTGAAAACAAGCTTCAATAGCAGCACAGATCTAAAATGTGAAACCTTTGAATTTACTCTCCTCTCTCTCTCTCTCTGTTAGGTGTTTAACTCCCAACCATACAGATGAGTGGAGGCGCTTTCTCTCTCTAAATAAAGTTTTATGATTATGAAAAGAGTGAGTTTCTTGATTGTTTAAACAAACAAAATGAAAAAATAAAAATGCAATCTTTATTTATTTATGGATTTAAAAAAAAAAAAAAAAAAAAAATACCTTTGGGAGACTTTTCAAGACCTGTGTTGTGTGGTAAGCAAGATTTGACCGGTCCATCCTCTGTCTTTTCTAATTGCGTAATCATTTTTTAGTAGATTCCTACCCGGCTCGATTTCGGACTAGTTGATTTCCTTGTAGATCCAGAAACTGGAAGGTCCCTGTACAAAAAAAAAAAAAAAAAAATACCAAATACATCATTTTTGTATTTTTTTTTCCAATAAATACATATTTTAACTTAAACTATTTACTCTGAAATACAACATAAATAAAATTTTACTATATTTTATACAATAAACATGTATCTGTTACAAAAATATAATGTATCCAATTTTTTTAAAATAATTGTAAGAAACAGGGGAAAAATGAGTGCGGTCTCGCGCAGATAAAACCATTGTTCTAAAAATCGGTCTAGGCGTCCGCCTAGGCGCTAGGCAATGCCTGGGCGCCTCCGATTTGCACAAATCGGCAGAAAAAATTGGTCAGGCGGCTAGGCGGCGCCTAGACGGCCCTAGGCGGCCTTGGCGGGCTCGGCGACCAGGCGGTTAAGCGGCGCCTAGGCAGGCATAGAAGGACCTAGGCGCTCCTAGGCGGGCTCGGCGGCAAATTTTCAGTTTCTTTTTAAAAAACTTTTAAAATTTTTTAAATATTAATTACATTATTTTGTTCTCATTTTTTGTTTAAAATATATTAACTTTATTATTTGGACTTAAGTGTGTCGAATTAATTTAAGTTGAGATCATTTTATTTTGTAGGTAGTTAAAATAAATAAAAAATAAGATATTTATTAATGATTTCTAGGCCCCGACTAGGTGCTCTAGGCGCTAGGCGCTAGTCGAGCGCCTAACGGGCTCCTAACGACTTTTAGGACACTGGATAAAACGCACCAAAATATGAAAAAGCTCAGATCAAGTTTAACTGTTTAAGTGAGATTTCATCTCAAAACCAATTGTGTAGGAGGAATAGTCCACTAGACTTATAAATTATCCATGTGTTTCTTATATAAACGATGTGAGACAACACACAAATGATATTCTCTGTTTTCCCTATATAAACGATGTTCGACAACTCACAACTGATTTTTTAACAATAGAGTATCCTATTGTCCAACTGTTAGTCCGTGCAAAAAATAAAATAAAATACAGTATAATGTTTGCAATTGATGAGATACATAGACATTGTACACTGTTGTGTAATAAATGATCATAAATGAACCAGCAATATTATAGTAGATGACTTTGTTATGCTGCTATGAGGATAATAGTCTTGATGACAGCAAATGTTTTAACTTAGCTTATTGGGAAGTTGTGTTTAGGTATGAAATTAATGTAGTATAAATACAGGTTTCAAATAATAATAATAAAAAAAAAAAAACTAAAGACAACTTTCTATTAAAAAAAACTAGTATGTAACCCGTGCGATGCACGGGCTGTATTTATTTTAAAAATAATTATAAGTTGAAATCTATTAATAAATAAATTATATTTCGTAAGACATTTGTAAAGTAATCATAATTTTTTTCGTTGGTAATAATAAGTCATACATTATTAAAAGTCTAATTGTACACAACATTATTAGTTTGATTACTGGGTAACTTATCATCCCCGCAAACTAATATTTTCAATCACTTCCTAATAGTTGCACATGAAACAATAACATATAATTGGTTGTTACTAAAAAACGATTTCTTCAAGAACAACTATATGCGATAAAGACTAAACCTGACAATATGTGGTTTTATATTTTTGTATAAGATGCTTTTATCGTATGAGTTTGATTGGATGTTTATAAATCTCACATTCGTGTCAAAACAAAAAATATGGTATGAAATTGAAGTGATAATATTTCTTGGTGTGGCAATGTCACATATTTTGTTTATTCGGATTATACCAAAATAAAAAAGATTTTCACCACAAAAATTATGATATCGTAAAGAAAAGATCGTTAAAAATCTCAAATTTAGTTAGCATAATTTGTAGTTGAATAGAACCGAATATTATGGCAGTATTATTAAACAAATTATTACTATGATTAGTGGATTTTATGTTTATCTCTTATATTCTCTTAGTCTCATTTAATCATCATATTGATTCCAATATTTGGAATAAATTTGATTCTATTTGCATAACAATATACAAAAAAAGTTCTTACGTTCAAGTAAGAGATTATTTTTATGAATATAAACACTTGTAAATCAAATTTCTATAAAGATTGCATTTCATATCTATCTTTTTTATTTTAGCATTCTCATTGATTTTGTGTTTATTTTTTTTATACTCGTAGTTTCATTTTATGGCCAATTTATTCCAATCTTTGGAATAAATAAAAATGTAAGATTAAAAATACATTTGTTACGTTTAAAAAGAGTTTTAAATTGTATCTATTGCATAACAATCTTAAAAAAAAAATATTATTAAGTTCAAATAAGAGATTTATTTATGAATAAAAACACTTGTAAATCAGCTTTCCATAGACATTGCATTTCGTATTTATCTTATTTTATTCTAGCATCTTGTAGTACAAACAATTAATATGAGAAACGTGTGTGAATTAAATTTTATTACGAATAAAAAATTAAAATAATAATAAGATTTGATTTGTGTATATCTAAAAAGATGTTTCACCACAAAATTGTGATACAATAAAAAAAAGGTTCGTTGAAAATTTTGATTTAGTTTGTATGCCTTGTAGTTGAAAATGATAATTATTAATAAAAAAAATGCTTATTATCAAAGTAAAATAAAAAAACATAAATTCATAAAACAAAAATATATAAATCAGAGAGTAAAACAACAATATTAAATAAATAAAATAAAAATCTACAAATGATGTAGGAAAAATTTATTCCATATAAAAAAACTCCAAAAATCTGAGGAGAAGCAAAAGAAAATAGAGATATTACACAAAAAGAATATAATGTTAGGGTTCTTCTCTTGCTGGAATTTTTTTTTATTCTCTCAAAAATTTCATAGTTTTTGGAATGAATTTCTGTTGAAATTTATTCCATGAATTCGAGGTTTTCAATTGTTGAAATCATATGGTATAATATCACTGTAATTATAGCTAAGTAAAATGGACCCTAAAAGATGGTCAATGATTTTTGATTTATACATATGATGATACGTATCATTCACGATGGATTCTAGTTTCATTTTATATATATTTAAAATTTTATGGTCAAATTTTCCTATGTAATTAACTCCTATTTGTCCCTTCTTTAATTACCTGATATTTTAGCTTCTAGAAAATTTCTACCATTTTTATTCCAATTATTTGTTAATATTAATTTTGAGTTTGAGAATTAATTGTTTCTTTGATTTAGAAAGTAATGATTTCATGAAGTGAATTTTAATAATCCTCCATACACTAATATGACTTTACTGTAGTATTTATGAGATTTATATGAGATTTATTTTACCTTTATTTTATAAAGATTTGTGTATATATAGAATTCTTGTACCACAAAAATATGTTACCATAAAAATAATGGTTTACCTTAAAAATAATTTTGACAAAATTAATACAAATAGAATCTTTTTTTCATGGATCCCCTTCTTAAGCAATGAATGTTTTTTTTTTTTTTTTTTTTTTT